ATGGCCTGCTCCACAACCCTTTTTGGGTGGCACGCATGAAGACGTGAAAGGTTGCGGATCAAGAGAGCGGGGGAGTCATTTCGCTACAGTTCATATGCAGGAGAGATGAAAAGGCGGTGAACTTTTTGGTAGGCCACCGCCTCTAGGTAGTGCTTCGACGATGTGGGTAGACAGAATTCAATTCCCTAGTGTAAACCTCCCACACAGGAACAGTTTGGATTCCAAACTATTCCGTTTAAAGTAGCCTGATGTCTTGAATTTGTATGAGAACCCGCCGGGTGACTGGGGTATTTCTCTGATTACGCCAATAATCGTATTTTTCACATTTTGCGGAAAGTGTAGGATCGATCTGTACGAGTATGATCACCATGTATAGACAAGTTGCTGACCGGATCCATCTGAAAGGGTCCCGATTGACAATACCGAAGACTGCATCCACCTAAACAGGAACGGCGAGACGACGTAAGCAATACGATTGCGGTGACATACAAATGTGCGATTCAGTCAGCCCGACCGAGTTCTGCTGTCGGAGCACACTTTCCGAAACGGGTGCCAACGGTGAGTTGAAGCACCCACGAACAAACGGAGTTGCCTAAGCCAGTGTTAGGTGACCCCGTGTGTTTACCTACAGACAAGCTGGTGTGTACCATCATGTGGCTGTGTATGCCGTGTGACGACGGTCATCGTGTACTCGCCGGAATACTCGCGTGTTTCTCTGACTGACACGTTTCGGCATGTGCTGCGTATTCACCCGGACCTCCCTATTCCGGCTTTGGGTTCCTCATCAGGCCCCACCTGACCATCAAACTTAACCGGAAGTGGCTGACAGGGAAGCACCGCGTTCACTACGCACTGTCGCTGTGACAACAAGTGGATACGCTATCGATCGGTCTACCGACGGAGCAGAGAACGCAATCGCACGCACGGCGCACACGTAGCACGAACCCAGTGCGTGAACTGGCGGGTGCTCCCATGACATCGCGCTTTGCACACATGCCGCATCACAACAGTCTGCACAACGATCGATAGCATAACCCATTCGTGCGGAGTTCCGGGTTTGGAAACAAGCCCTAGCTTGGCTAAACATCGGTTAAGCAGCCAGACAAATTTGTGTGCGCACGTGAGCGCGAGAGAGCGGAAAGGCGCGGGCATCTGCACAACGCGTGGTGCGGCAGATCGCGTTAACCCCAGCCGGGTATTACCAGTGTAGTTATAGTATGCAGATATCGGCCAGCTGACATCAGCACATCGAAATCGAGGTTTTTATAGTCGGCTAACGCCGTTGGCAAACTACTGTGCCAAAAGGCTGGCTGCGTCTCCACCAGAGTACTGCAGGGTACAAGGTTGGCGAGTTCTGTGGTGATACGAAGGGGCACACATCCCATACCAGATGCCTTATAAATCATTTTGAAATATTGACCTTAGTTGGGAACTTTACAAGCCGCAGTGTACTAAACCGCCCTTCATAATGCTTAAACTACTATCCGTTGTTATCTTGCTTTGATACATCAACTACTACCCCTAGCATACAAGATACAACCGAAATAGCCGGTAGGCAGCGGAAGCTTCATCGCTTGTCGCTCTCAGTTAGTTATCTCATCCATGAGAATGGGAAGCCACTCACAGAATGGGAGAAATGCTGCAGGAGTAACAATCATGTGACAAATGACCTAGGTGAAGCAACGCGGCTTGAGAGCCAACAGTGGAGATACTCAGCAATCACCTGAAGACGGTGGCTTTTTTGTCGTTTCAGTGTACGCTTTCGCCAGTCACAGTTCGTAAAGACGAATGCACTTTGTAACTGGTCCGTACGACCAGGAACACAACTATACTATTTCTCAATTGAATGTATCCTTAACGTAGTAGCTTTCATCCGTAATGCAGCAACTTCTATCCTTAGCGCAAAATCTGTACTCCGATAGTCACAAAAATTGCTTCCACGACACCCTCAGTGAGTCAGCTGTCCGCTCGCCTCAATTGGATATCTCCTTTACTCACTCAAGCCATCCGCTCGTCTGTGTGCACCAGCATTAAACAATAAGGGACGGAAGCAGGAGGTTGCTCATGAACTGGTTCCAAACCCCAAAGTCTGGGACGTGGAGGTTAGGCGAAGTCAGCACAGTTCTGGACGCACGCAGACGTAGCAGTGAACATGTACGGCACACTGGATCACGCCCCTTGGCTTAGTCGAGCGCGTTGTGGATAGGGTCAAAACGGTTTCACAACTAGGGCGTGAATGAACAAACAAGATGTCCGTTTGAGGCGAGCGGACAGCTGACACACTGAGGGCGTCGTGGATACGATTTTCTGGGCTATCGGATCATAGATTTTGCGCTTGGGATGTAGGCTGATGCACTACGGATGAAAACCACTGCGTTAAGGATGCAAACAATTGAGAAATGGTATAGTGTGATTATTCCCGACATTGTGAATGCCTAAGTGGGTGACTTATCGGGGACAAGCCAACTTTCGAGTCGCCAGTTCTGGACATCTAATAGCAATGGATCTCAAATTGTGTCCAGCAGTAACGCTTTCTCTTAGATTCTGCAATCTAGTACAACCGTCTGTATCAAGTCACCTGGCACATACTCAGTGAAACTGGGTCATAGACTCAAATCAACCATATTGTCATCAGCTGCAGATGGGACATGTCAACGCAGATATATACGTTAGGCAGTAGCATGTATAGGTATTACAATCATGCCACAATGCGTGGCCGCATAGCATTCACTCTCCCTGCCTCAAATAAGTACCTACTCTCGGGGTATATCATGAGTTGCCAAACGCACAGTTCGATAAACACAATGCATTCGAGATAAGTTGGCAAACAGGACAAATCGAACGAGTGCCTTTTGGGATCACTTCCAGTAAGCGTAGTAGAAGGCAATGAGATCCAAAAATCTGCACACCATGAAGCGGCTACTGGTAGCTCACTCCCGGCGTTAATGAATAGGAGGTGGGGGGGGGTAGCCAGTTCCAGGATGGTGTCAAACTGCACCGCCAGATGAGGCATTTCCGTAGTGATTTAACATGTAGTTTACGCATGCGCATTATGTGCATTTCCCCTTGTGTTCAAGTGATAAGGCTATAAAAGTATCCAGTTATTTATGGTCACATGTAAAAGTAACAGTATTTATATGCCGAACACCTCATCTACATGATTAATATCTATCCATAGACGAAGAAGGGGTTTCCATCTCTCAGACCCCATTCAGCCTACCTGCTTAAGCACTGTGGCTTAAGGATTGTGATCGTTGTTGCTAACGTTGCGCTTTGCTAAGCAAGCACTCTGGGGACGATATCAATGATTTGTAACCAAAGCTGTCTCGACCGAGTAAGTCCGTTAGATATGAGACGGTCACCGTACCACTTCATTTCGTCCGTTGAAAGTAAAAGAGATCGTCTCTGCTGAGCGGAATGTACCTCGATCCTTGGCCTATTTTGGTTGATCGACCAAGCGCTCCCACCGTCAATGTAATGTGACCACAGTATCCGGCAGCCAGGTGATCCGACAATTGCGCTGAACACAGCTAGTGTAATGGTCACGTGAGTGACCCGCATAGCTGCTACGTCTTGGAGTGCAACCAGTAAACCACACCTGGTTGACGGCCGCAGCGCGCTCATGCACATAGACGGGCGGGTGGTCTTGCATACACATGGGTACATATGCAAGGGGCGGAGATGGATATGATCGACTAAAACCACCTAGGGGGATGCAGTTCATTCGGATTCACCGTATTGGAATGGGCACCGCGACTTGGTTGCGCAAGAACGTCAATTGGCGATATGCGCACTATCGATCCCGACCGAATCGCAATCATTAGTGAACCTCAAGACAAGGATTAAAATATGGATCCAAACACTGAGGTCATGTTTCCTGATAGAATAAGGTGACCGAGATTCGGTCGGTGAAGATGTACTGGTGCACCTGCATTGACGGCCGATGACTGCAACAGTGGTGTGATACGATCCGAACATGTGCGGACTTGACTAGAAATATGCCCTATCTACATGGCGCATGACACACGTCCGAGGAATGAATACTTAATCAACAATGCTACAGTGACCATAGTGCGTGAGGATTCGTATGTGTCGAAGTGGCTCAATTAGGTTGGACGACGATGGGCGGCACGAATTATCGCGCAGTGGGATCCAGCCACACATAAACAGTGTCTTAACAATCAACGGATAAGCTATAATAATACCGAAACGGTGTTTAGAGGTTGAGCAATGTGACTGTTCACATAATTCACAATGAAGTTGATGGGAGAAAAAGTTCAACAATTTCAATAGCACAATCCTGACAAATCGTCGAGTGCTTTGCAGTCGAATGCCCTAGCCAGAATCAGACAGGTACTCCTGGAACACGTCACATGACGATTCTAGTGTTGGGCATTCTTTAGTAAATGGTGACATCCAGCCTTCAATATAGAGCATTCATCCAACGGCCTACTTCTTTCGCAAAACGGGAAGCCCAACCAAAGTCAACCACAAAAATCCCCAACTACTTATGCGAGCGTTATCACCAACCGACGGAAGAAACCGGTTGTGGGATTCACTGTCCTTAATAATTTACATATTTTACATATTTTAAAATTGTAATTATTGCAATTCTCCTGATTTAATGTCTTCTATTTAGGGTACGTAACCAGGTCCCAGTGTTACTCTTCACGCTACACACGCTGTTATGCATTAGGGGGCAGGGATTTGGATTTGCCAATACGTATACACGAAAGTACAATCAACGAATGTATGCATCAGTTCAAGGTGCGTAGGGGATAAACAAGGTGAATATTTTCCTCCCCATGGGTTAGCCAGAGATGATTTCCCATGCAAGACTGGTGACACACAGTATGCGTGCACTAAGGTAAAAATGTAGCCCGGTGGCTTAGTAAGTGTCTTCCCCAATCCCTTGCAGGAGCGGGAACAAACATGTTCTCCCATAGGCACAAAGACAAGCATTTCAGGCCAATCACCGATACCAAAGGGGACTGACTTACCGTGGGGTACGAGGCGGCCACAGTGCAAACGCAAATGCTCGATAGGGCGTTCCGTGATGTGCGAACGCGCCAACACGCGTTTGGCAAAACGCCTACTGTTGTGCGAACGGGTTGGACTTGGTACTTGAGACTGACCTAACAACAACCAGGAGCGCAGCCACCACTGTGTGTGCGTGTGGGTGTGGAGCCCTGTAGAGAGCGTATGTGGCTTCATGCGCCACATGGGTTGTGTGCGTATGTGTGTACATCACTCGACTAGCGCGTTTGGCCCATACCGTGCCCTGACTTGCCGGGCTATCGTGGTGGTGGTGGTGGTGTGTTGATATGATGATACCAAGCCACCACGACAGCGACCATGCTTTCTCGCTCACTCACGCCCGATGTGGCTGTGCGTGCGTGTTGCTAGTCCCCACAAATCGGTTGCTGTCCACGTGCACACCACCACGCAGCGCGCGTTTGAACCGATCCGATCGGAAAAGGGCTGGGTCGCACACACGCATACAACCCAAAAGCCTAACTGGCGCGGCTGTGCCCGTGCGGAAGCACAACGCATGAATGCACACACGCGGCACACTGATCACCTGAGCCCAACGCGGCGTGTTTGCACACGCTCCTACTTTGGGGTCTACGTTCACGTGCACGCACACACGCCCACGGTCGGTTGGCCTAAAGGGAACGGCACCTCTTCAGATGAGCTTCTGTCTGACGCGCTGCTGCCTCGCCCGACAGTCTGTTCTGGCACGCTGCCTCTGAGTCGCACACACCACGCCCGTATGCTTGTGCACATAGACAGTGCCAACACAAACCCGACTGCTACTTTCATTCCGTTTCCACAGTGATGACGTTTGGAACCAATCAATCGATTTTAGCCGGATGCAGGGAACGTAGGTAGCACGCAGCGTGGGTGCGTCACGCGTCTGTAGTTGGGGTTAAACTCAAAGGCTGAACATCGGATGATGCTGTTGGTGGGCCGGTGTGTATATGCATGCTCAACGGCCTATGTGTGCTTGTGCTAGCGTACCAGATTGCAACCAAACACAATGTGGGAGCATAGCAACCAGCCAGACGGAGCGATGGTGCCTGTAGCTTTGCAGCACAAGTATGACATCGAGTTGCCGCTTCGGCGGACGAGTTTAGGTGGCTTGGTCGAGCGGATGTTGACTCAGTCAACAATTCGAGACATTTGATTGCATGCAGTTGGACTGACCTCCGCAGGTGGCCAATGCATGTGAGTTTGTCCGTCCGCATGTGAGCGAACAACGGCACAACACTGTTCAACGGCAAACAAATTTAGTTCACACACCATCGTTGGATCGCTTGGGGTCGATGGGGTTGCAGCCGTTTCAAATTATCGGCTGTGATAGGATTGTGTTCCGGGTAAAACAATAGGTTGGTTTCGGGACGTGAATATCGCCTTGTCAGCGCATGTTCTATTGATATTGCGTTTTGCAATTTAGCCGCACAGTAGACATACTAATGCCCAACACCAAGCCCATCAGTGGGTGTTATGCTACCCGCGTTATCTCTGGATTGAGTCACATAAAGTAAACCAATAACTGGTTGCTTCAGCGGAGCTGTACGTTACCAAATAGGGGAACGTCTTCCTTCCGAAAGCGAAGTGAATCATCGGTCACGAACAACCTGTAGCAAAGCGTGAGGTGTTCTGGGCTTGTCACCTGTTTCCTCAACAAACGCCATAAGACCTCATACGGCGTTGTACCATAAACAGTGTGTTGCTCTGGGGTCACCAACCACTCACGTTTGTAACCACAAACAAATACAGGAAAGCCGATGAACCAACTTAATGGTCACCGGATTTTATGTGGGTTTCGAAAACGCTAAAAATCTACGAGCTACCTGGCTATCAACGGTCCTTATGTCTGACGGCTACTTCGATGGCTTGGGAAAATTTTGTCTTACGAGCTGCTATACTCGTACTCAGGTGGCCCCCTTGGTAAGAGGTTTCCCTACGAAACTCGCGTTTTACTAACCTGGTTAGCCAGCTTTAAACGGTTCGAGATACGCGTTAATCGTCCCGCTGTTTTGCTGTTTACGTGTTTATGGCACAAGGCTGCAAGTGCGATCCCATAAGCCAACATTCTAGGTCGGCCTTGGCAACCAGGAAGCGTCATACTCATACAGCGCATGGGCTAATGCTTCAATGTCTCTGCTCTCTCTCTCTCTCTCTCTCTCTCTATCTATCTATCTATCTATCTATCTATCTATCTATCTATCTATCTATCTATCTATCTATCTATCTATCTATCTATCTATCTATCTATCTATCTATCTATCTATCTATCTATCTATCTATCTATCTATCTATCTATCTATCTATCTATCTATCTACATCTTTATCTCTCTCTCTGCTCTTCGAAAATGCCAACCCCGGCCAAGGTAATAGAGACCGAACTTGTTAAACCAAGTTCTATCGTACCACCTTCAAACTAATTTATTCCACGTCTATCCAATCCCCTCATTTCCGGCAACACACCTCCTTTCCGAGTCCACAACACCTTGTCGCTTGGGGTCCTTGTGTTCTCGCCGCAGAGCTTAGTCCCGAGGGTGTGCCGCCCAGTCACTGTATCGCCCCGTTGTCAGATTATGCTTGTTACCTAAAATGTTCAGAAGCTACTGAGGATCAGATCACAAAAAGACTTTACTCAAACTCTAAAAACTATTCCCATTGGTGTTCGGTACCTCACCGAGACCTCTCTACAGGATACAAGCACGTCGCTACGACTGCTTTCGGCGTCTACGGTTTCTGCTGGCATTTCCACATTGCGCTTATCTAGAGACCCAACTGTCAGATCTGCTCACCATACCGGCGTTGGAATTGCGTTGAGCACACGTGCTGAGGCCACACTATTACACTGGATCTTTGTCAACAGTCGACTGTGCGAATCAGTCTGAAACCTCAGTGTGACTGTGCAGCCGCTCATCATTCACACTGTGTCCTTTCATGTGGTTGGCCTATTGACCTATTGATCTTTGCATCCTGGTTGCTCAGGTTTGCCAGTTTTTCAATACAGCTCGTCACGCACAATGGTGTGCTTGTTTCCCATTCGGAGTGGGTTCAGTTACAGTCAGACGTTATAATAGACTGGCGACAGGGAACCATGACGGTCCCTTTGGAATTTCTTCAAGAAATGCTGCCCAGACAGCAAGCACAGTTTGAGGCGTCACAGTAACGCTTATTTGAAATATTGAGAACACGAATGTCATTCCAGCCAGCATCTACAGATTCAACAATTTCCACTGCACACAAGCTGGCGTACAGTATGGCAGAATTTCATAATCAGCCGGACGATGACCTCACTTTTGAAGCATGGTTTCGCAGCTATGAAGAGTTGTGAAGAACTGATGGGCGTGAGCTAAGCGATGCAGCTCAGGTACATCTTCTTTTGAAGGAATTGGGTCCACAAGTGTATGAAAAGTATTCCAATGACTTTCTACCCAAGAACCCACGCGAAATATCATTAGACGACATTGTGAAATACTTGAGCAGAATTTTCGGCCCTCAATCTTCACTTTCCAACACACGTTTCCGATGTTCTCAAGTTGTTACACACAGGAGGATGATATTATGACTTATGCAGCTATTGTTAACAGGGAATGTGAACGTTTTCAGCTTATCACACTTACAAGTGATCAGTTTAAAACGCTCATTTTTGTTTGTGGATTACGTTCTCCAAAAGATGCGGAGATTCGAACACGTTTGTTATCTCGGTTGGAATCTAATCCAGAAGTTTCACTACAGTAGTTGGTACAGGAATGTGAACGTATGGTGACACTGATGCATGACACAGAAATGATCCAAAGGGGCACAACGAGTCTTGTCTGGTTGATGTTCCCTATTATTCCTACACGACCCAGGCCATCGCACAATTCACTACGTCTCTCCGACTTCGCACGCCACGGCTGTCCGCCTAGTGCTTGTTGGCATTGTGGTCAGTGGTATTTCGCTCGATTTTGCGGATTCAGGCGATATATTTGCAAGCGTTGTGGGAATATGGAACATAAGGAAACCAGAGGTTTGCAGGGGGCCTCTGGAAGACCTTCACGAACCTTCGCCAAAACTCCAAATTTTCAACATTGCATTTCAAACGTGGTGTTTGCAACCACTAGCTCGAACTATCAGTCATTACAGAAATATGTTACGATTGTGATAAACGGTGCTTCTGTCCCACTTCAACTGGACACGGCTTCCGATATTACAATAATCTCTGAGTCGGCATAGAGCAAGCTCGGTAAACACGCATGTGTTCAAACTTCACACGTCGTTCACGACGCGTCAGGTTCGGAGTCAACTTTCTTGGACAGTTCAGTTGTGAGTTTGCACTTCGTGATTTGCATGCTAACGGTGTTTGTTACTTTACACCTTATGGACATTTGAACTTGTTAGGTATAGATTGAATAGACAGACTTAATTTATGGTGCATAGCTTTGAACAGTATTTGTGATAACCCAGATAGATTTTCACTGTGTCCCACTGATGTTCAGTGTTCGGTTGCGCCCGTAAAATCTCAAAACAATACAGAAGCTTTACCACATTTTCCCTCTAAGTACCCCGATGTTTTTGCAGAGAGTCTTGAAATGTGTTCTAGGATAAAAACTCTGTTGTATCCGCGTACCAGTATTTTGTCCCAAACGACCAGCACAATACGCTGCTGTTGAGGCTGTGGATGCCGAAATTAGTCGACTGGAGTCCACGGGCCTCATCAGTTCTGTGAGCTACCTAGCGTGCGACGCTCCTATTGTAGTCATCAGAAAGCCTAATGGCAGTTTGCGTTTCTGTGCTGATTTTTCTACTGGATTAAGTAACGCACCGGAAACGCATCAATATCCCTTACCTGTTCACGAGGATATATTCACAAAGCTTAATGGAGGAAAATTCTTTTCTAAAATTGATCTTTCTGATGCATACTTACATGTGGTGGTCGAGGAGAACTCCAAAGAACTGCTCACCATTAATACACATCGAGGCTTGTACCGTTACACTACGTTACCTTTCGGAGTAAAATGTGCTCCAACGATCTTTCAACATGTGATGAACGCTATGCTATCGGGATCACAGTGTGCCATGGCTTATTTTGATAACATAATAATTGTAAGTTCCACCAATGAAGATCATTTGACCCACCTGAACGACGTATTCTTCAGGACAGATTCATATGGATTTCGTGTACGTCCAGGAAAGTGCAAGCTTATGATGCCCAGTTGCACATACCTTGGCTCGGTTATCGACAGTTCCGGTCGTCGGCCAGACCTACACAAAATAAAAGACATCAAGCTGACGCCACACCCTAGGAACAAAGTTACTTTGCAGTCTTTCTTGAGTCTAGTTAACTACTATCACAACTTTGTCCCTCAGATGCACGAACTCCGGTCCCACTAAATGCACCTTTGGCAAACGAGTCAGTGTGGTCATCGCAGTGTCAGAAAGCCTTTGAGGACATTAAACAAATATTGTCCTCCGATCTCCTTTTACCGCATTATGACTCAGGATTATCAATAATTGTCGCTGCTGATGCTTCACAAAACAGTATCGGTGGTGTCTTGTTGCATCAGCTCCCGAATGGACATCAAAAGGCTGTGATACATATTTCCAGCGCATTGAAAGCAGCAGCAAAGATCTACAATCAAATAGAGAAAGAAGGACGAACGCTGCGTTTTGCGATTAGGAAATTTCGTAAGATGGTACATGGGCGCAAATTTACATTGTACACAGATTACAAACATTTTCTATCTATTTTTGGCACCAAACGAGGAACACCCGTTCACACGTCAAACAGATTACAACGTTGGGCATTCACCTTATTAGCATACGATTTTGATTTGCGTTTTAAAAGTACCTCTTCGCATGGTCATGATGACGCATTGTCCAGACTGATTGCCGACTGCATGTCCAAGACACCGGATGAAGACATTGTTGTGTCCAGCATTACCTTATATCCCGAGATTAGACAAGTATTTCAAACATCTGTACGTCATGTTCCAGTGACAGTAGACGCAGCTGGAATAGAAATAGCAAGAGACCCCCAGTGGCAACGTATAATGGGGCACCTCAGCACTGGTTGGCCTGTACGTCCCGTTGGACAGCTATGGTGAGCAGTACCGTAAAAGGAAGTTCGCCTTAACCGCTATAGATGGTTGCTTGATATTATCTGACCGAGTTGTCATTCCTAAAATTCTGCAGAAGTAGGTTCTCAGTCAGTTCCACGAAGATCACCCGGGAACCAGTCGTTTGAAATCCATAGCCTGCAGCTATGTCTACTGGCCATTCATGGACTAGGATATCGAAAATGTGGTTCGTTCCTGTAACAGCTGCGTTATGGCAGCAAAACTACCTTTCAAATATGAGCTTCATTCTTGGCACACTCCAAGTGGACCATGGTCTCGCATTCATATTGATTTTGCTGGACTCTTGGAGGGTTTCCACTATCTGATAATTGTTGATGCATATTCAAAGTGGCCTGAAAATTTTCAAATGGGGTACACAACCACTTCCGCTGTTTTGTTACATCTACGCCGTCTTATCTCAGAATTCGGTGTTCCCGGGACGATTGTTTCCGACAGTGGTTCCCAATTCACTTCTCAATAATTTGCCGACTTTTGCAACTCACATGGCATAGAACACGTACGCACTCCAGCGTACCATTCACATTCAAACGGGTAGGCTGAACGTTTTGTCGATACGCTTAAGCGAGCATTGATTAAATTGGAAAGAGAGGGAAATATCCAGGAAATCAGCGACAAATTTTTGTGAATTTACCGTACGACGCCAGGTCCAGCAGTACCTCAAAACATATCCCCATCCAAAGCGTTTCTCGGTAGGCGTGTCAGAACGGTCCTTGATGCTTTGAAGCCATCGCTACACAAGAGAGAGCACAATGTTTGAATGGAGTTGGCTTTTAATCGCCATCGTGGAACACGCCACCGGCATTTCCTGCCTGGTGATAGTATGTCCGTAAAGAATGTTCGTGACGGAGGATCATCCTGGATTGCTGTCCGTTTCGTTGAACGGATTTCAAGTGTTTTGTACAGAATACAAGTGGATTCCATCATATGGACTAGACATGCAAACCATATTGGACCCCGTTTTGATGTGCAAGTGACGACATAAAAACAGGAAGCTTCACTACCGTTCAACATCTTGCTGGATACTTATCAAATTACCCCGTCTGAAGAGCCCATCGTCCAAACAGAAAACGGAACTAAAGCTCGAAGATACTCAACCCGAATCAGAGCGCCAGTGTAGAGACTCGTGGTGAACCCGAGACGTAAAGCATCCCAATCAAACGTAGCACGCTATTTTGTTCAGTTTAAAGGAGGGTGTTAGACGGGCTTGCGCTTCACAGTCGCTCACAGCTAGATAGTTTGACATTCGTAACTGTTTCGTCACGTGATTGTGTTGTACACACGCATGACAGTCGTTTAGAGTTAGACCGCTCAGCATTCATGACTAGTTCGTTTCATGTGGTTGGCCTATTGATCTTTTGCATCCCGGTTGTTCAGCTGTGTCAATTGTTCAGTACAGCTTGTCTCGCACGGTGATGTACTTGCTTCCTGTTCGGAATGGGTTCAGTTACAGTCAAAGGTTATAATACCTCCTAGCTGAGAGACATCATAGCTTGCCCTCCTCCCGATGCGAAATATGAGACTTTAAAATAGGCGATCATTCAGCGAATCACGCCTTCCGACAAGGTCTGACTGCAGTAACTGTTTGGAGATCTGCACCTAGGCGACAGGATGTCTTCAGCCTTGTTGCGATAGATGCAACAGCTCCTAGGCACATCCAGCACAGACGCTGGGATTCTCCGCGAAATTTAGATGCAACGTCTCCCAGAAACCACACAGGCCATCCTCACCATGACAAGTGTCCTGCCTCTCGTAGCAGTTACAGAACTAGCAGACCGTGTCATCGAACGACATCAGCCAAGGAACGAATCTAGGACACTCACTCGACTTGGCACCGTCGCAGCCCCAGCGACATCTGTGAGTGGTGAGCTACCAGCAATGGACGCTTTATCAGCACAAATAACGGCACTACAACCCCAAGTCGAGAAACTCTCCCTAGATCGGAAGCAGCGTAACCGCTCTAGCTCATCACCTTGCCGCAAGAAGCGTAACAATTCAGGCTTTTGCTTTTACCACTCGCGTTTTGGTAAGTGCGAGCAACCATGCAGTTTCTCCGCCGCCAAGCAGGGAAATTTTCAGGCCGGCCCGTAATGGCGACTAACGGTGTCGGTAAAGCCCAAAGTCATCTCATCTACCCAGTAGTTGATACCGGGGCGGAAGTCAGCGTCATCCGCTCTATTCGATGTGAACCAGCTGTTCTTTTGTCGACAAGCCTAAGGCCCGCCAATGGCATGTCAGTAGCCACCTATGGTCATCGGTAGCTTACCCTGGACCTAGGTCTTCGGTGCACGTTCCGCTGGGTATTCACCGTCGCTGCAGTCCTGTTTGCCATCATCGGTATTGACTTTCACAGTCATTTCGTCTTCTTGGTCTATGCGAAACGCCAGATGATAGGCGACACTGCAACGAAACTCAGTGTACGTGGCATCACCGCCGATATCGCATATATAACCTCGGTCTACGCCTTTTCCCAGACCTCACCAGACTTCGCCAGACTACGCCAACCTCTTTTCCCAGTATTCCAAGCTCGCGTCCAATGAACACAGTTTTGCTCGTGGCATCCCAAGTCACGCACCACATACTGACGGATGGCCCACCCATCTCATGCCGTCCACGCCGACTACCCCCCGAGAAACTTAAGGTAGCTATGGCAGAGTTTGAGCACACGTTCGAATTTGGAATAATTCGCCCTTCCGAGAGCTCTTGGTCCTCTCCCCTGCAGATGACCCCCAAGAAATCTGGTGACTGGCGCCCTTGCGGTGATTACCGCGCACTCAATCGGCTAACCGTCCGCGATAGGTATCCTATCCCACACATGCAGGACCTTACCGCAGGCCTCACATGTAAGACGATCTTCAGCAAGATCGGTCTGATTCGCGCCCATCACCAGATACCTGTCGAAGAAAATGACATTCCTAAAACAGCTGTTCTCACTCCTTTCGGCTTGTTTGAATTTTTAAGAATGCCATTTGGACTGTGCCAGGCCGCACAAACTTTCCAACGCTTCATCCACGATGACACTCGTGGCCAAGCCTTCGCTCATTCCTACCTCGATGATATTTTAGTAGCCAGTTCATCGGAACAAGAGCCCCTCGACCACCTTCGAGCTCTCTTCCAGCGCTTGACCAAACATGGTGTCACTGTCAACCCGACTAATTGTGAACAAAGCAAATCAACGGTAGAATTCCTAGGCCACCTCGTTTCATCGTCTGGTATTAAAGATCCAGGCAATCAAGGACTTCCCAGCTCCGACTTCGTTCAAGCACCTCAGTCGATTTTGTGACTTGGTCTACTACTGTCGACGCTTCATTCCGCGTTGCACTCAGCTCATACAATCTCTGACTGACCTACTCAGAGGGAATGAACACAAGTCCGCTTTTCTGGACACAACACAGACAGCCTTCGCCGAGCACAAAGATGTTATCTCCAACATAGTTTTCCCCACTCATTTCGAATCGTCTGCACCCCTTTATATCACGAATGATGCTTTAGAAGTTGCGGTAGGAGCGGTCTTCCAACAACACGTTGGTGCGCAATGACAACCCCTTGGTTTCGTCTCCCAAGGCCTGCAGCCAGCGGAATCCCGTCACAGCACGTTTGGCAGAGAACTGCTCACCATTTATCTAGCCATTCGTCACTTCTGGTACACACTCGAAGGCCGCCCTTTTACCGTTTACACTGACAACAAGTTCCTCATCGTCTTCAACAGCTTGTGACAAACACTCACCACGGGAAACTAGACATCTTGACATAGTCACACAGTACACTGCCGATATAGGTCGTTTCTCAGGTGTCGAAAACCTCGTCGCCTACGCTCTCTCACGCGCAGAGTTCACACTTCACTCTTTGCCTACTGTCGACCTTAGTGCTACAGCGTCGACTCAGGCTCAAGATTAAGACATAAGGCGCACTCTGCAGCCAACTTCGCTGCATGTACAATCCGTTCCTCTCCAAACCACGAAATGAACCATTCTCTGTGACAATTCCACAGGTTGTCCTAGACCCCTCGTGCCCGTCTCCTTCAGACTCACAGTCTTTGATGCACTGCACGTACTATCACATCCAAATATCCGTGCATCTTTGAAACTGGTCACAGAACGTTTCGTTTGGCCACGCGTAAACAAAGGTGTTCGTACCTCGGCCCGCGCATGCCTTCAATGCTAGCGCTCCAAAATACCTTGTCGTAACCGCCATCCTCTTGGCTCATTTCCCGCCCCGGACTCTCGGTTATCTCATTTACACTTAAACCTGGTAGGTCCCTTGCCTCCTTCACGCGGATTCGTATTCATTCTTACATGTGTCGACAGCTTCACTAGATGGCCAGAAGTCATTCCCGTAACAGACTGTACTGCTGAGACTGTTATCCGGGCCTCCTTAGATCGGTGGGTCTCACACTACGGATGCCCATCCACCACTACAACTGACCGTAGAACACCCTTCAAACCTTCACAATTCGATACGTTCTGCAACTTTTGAGGCTGCCGCCAAATCCATACCACAGAGTATCACCCAGCAGCCAACGGTTTAGTTAAACGATTCCATAGACAGTTAAAAGCCTCGCTCTATGTCTCCTCCGACCCTAGCTGGAGCGAAACCGTTTCGCTCGGACTCTTAAGCATTCGTATCAGCATCAAAGCTGAGTTGCAATGTGTGCCAGCGGAGCTGGTCTACAGCAAAACGCTAAAGTTGCCAGGAGAATTCGTTTCGCCTCTCACATCATCGGGTATGCCTCCGCCTAACTTTACGTCCTCCCTAAGTCAACGCATGCGTTCAATACGCCCGACTCCGCCCCATGAACAGACTAGAGATGTGTACATGCACAGCGGGCTCTCTATCTGCACTCATGTCTTCCTCGGCACTGACGTAGTGAGGCGCCCTCTCCAGTCTCCCTACACTGGCCCTTTCAGAGTCCTACAAAGGAGTCCGAAACGTTTCATTTTAGACCAGAATGGTTACTGAGCAACGGTGTCCATCGACCGCCTCAAAGTGGCTTTTTTGACGAACAATTGCAACCCATCCTGATGCTATCACACAAGCACCCGCGCCTGCGGTGAATTCCCGAACACTGGATATTCCGAAACCCTCAGTTCCCCTTGACTCTCAACCCACCCAGCCTCAAGCCCAGGCAACTGACCGACGCGTTAGACAGGTCAAACGTCCGGTCCGTTTTACAGATTGTGTAAACGTTTACTATTTCAAGGAACTCGGCTTTTCGTCTTTAGTGGTAAGCTTGCGTCTCATCCATAAACGTTTCGCGAAATCGAAAAAAGCAGAAGATTTTGAAAACCTAAAAAGCTTATTTGCTTTTATCATGCATGCTATGTTCCTTTTCCGGCGTCAAGCCGGCCCAAGACCACCTTCCTGACCCAACGAACAGTCAGCCACCCTCGACAGCGGATGGCCACGACGGAATTGGTCCCCAAACACCTGGCCGAGCGTTACCGATGAGAAAGCGCGGATTTCTTCATGGGACGAATACCGTGGACTGGAGTGCGTTGGAGTGAGTAACGCCTCCCAAGCGCACCGTCGAGTCTGCAGCGGAGGGGATGTCCTGTCGGCCTTTTTCTGGACTAGCCAGTTTTTTGTATTCCGAGCAGCCCGCCCCGAGGACCCACCGATGATGCACTCTGGTCCACACGATTATCACAAATAATTAATAACAAAAGCCTGCACCCAGCAAACTCTGCTACACACCTCATCTTGGAAGCCCCTGTTCAAACACATGCAACTATTCGCACCCATCCTCACCTTCCGATTTCCCCCACTAACAGCTCCATCGAAGGCTTCATAGCTTCAGCTTTCTAGAGGGAGGCCCTTGTATTGAGCTGAAAACACACATCAGTATTTTGCAACATTGGTTGTTACCGTTGTTTTAACCTACAAAACCTCCATATCTTTTAGTGACGGCTCTTCCGTTGTCACAAATAGTTTTGGTTGCTTTGCTTTCTACTTTTGTAGCCTGCACAATACACGTTGGGTACAGTCGCCTCCAACTTCTATACTGTCCCGTATTTGACACGTCAGTTACGTGTCATTGATTACCGACTAGTATCCCAGGAGCTCCCCCCCCAGCAGTCTATGATTCGACGGAGCTTACACATGTAAATTAATTCAAACATATATCCTGAATGCAAAATGCTGACTAGGCATGACATAAGCTCAAAACTAGATGCATAACACGAAACAGTCGGGCAAAAGCTTGCGTTCGTAGATTTTGCGTCGAAATGCTTTTTCAGGGCAGTTGCGTTTAATGCTCCAACGATAGTTCGCCATAAAGTGTTTGCCTATTGTCTCTGATAAGCTTTTTCCATTGTCATCATATCTTGATGAAAAAGTTCCCCTTGTTTGTCACTTATTGCCCCAAGGTTTACGGGGAATTGATCAAGATGACTATTAAAGAAATGCAGCTTG